TCCATGTGAGGAAGAACTTTGCTGTGAGGGTACCGGAGCCCTGGCACAGGCTGCCCAGGGGCTGAGGAGGCTCCTTCTCTGGAGATCTTCAAGCCCTGCCCAGATGCCACCCTGTGCCCCTGCTCTGGGTGTCCCTGCAGGGGGTTGGACTAGATGATCCCATGATCCCTTCCAACCCCAACCCTTCCGGGATTCTGGGATTCTGTGTCCCGGCACCTCTGCAGCTGGGCACTGCCTGCCCAGGTCACACTGTTGCAGGCGGTGCCAGCCTGGAGCCCGATCCTGCCGCAGGTCAAGCAGGATTCATCAGCCCACCATCAGTAAGCAAACAAGTGGTCCAAGGATGAATGCACAGTTTGTTATGAATGTGCATTTTGTTACTCCTTCAACAAACTGTGAAAGTATCTTCTGGCCTTTAGATTTTGTCCTGCTCTAGGGAAGGTAACTGAAATAAGAGCCTCTGTATTTGGCATCTTACAGTTCAAAGCAGGCTGTGAACCCAAACATGACAGTTCTTCAGCATAGTCTTGAGACAGAATATTCATCCTGCACCCACTGCCTGGGGATGCACAATGGCTGTAGGTGATGAATCTAAAGCCAGAGAGAGTAGCATAGGAGACAACACAGGAGCCTCAGTCTTTCAGGTATCCATAGATGAGCTGCAAGGAGGAGCTTCATGCTCTGAAGCCCCGAGTGTTTCGGCTTGCAGAGCCATTCCCATATGCAGAGCAGATCAATGGCACCTCCTTCATGGCTTGGCATGGAGGCAGCAACACTCCTCTCCCAGCTGTTGGGCACACAGGTAAGAAAAGAAAATAAGGAAGAGCAGGACATTGATGCTTTGAAGAGCTGAACTAGAGAGGGACCATTGAAGACGGAAGCTATAAACTTCTAATGCATGGCAACAGTCCACAGGAACAGCATGGCTGTTAAAGGAGCAGACAGAATCAGGTGAAAAGCAGAACTGCTGTTTGTGCCTGTCTCGTGCTTGTCCCAGCCAGGCTGCCATGGTTGGAATGAGTTTTGGACCAGCTGGTCCCAGCACAAACTGGGCAGATAGCAAGGAGAGAAAGAGTAACAGCTGCGCTGGGCTTTTATAGACCCAGGGAAAGGTTGTGGCAGCACAGGCAGAGCAAACTGGGAAGGGCAGGAGTGATCCTAGCCCACAGCATAGGGGAAAACACCTCAAACACAGAGCTGGGCATCCAATGCTGGAAAATGCCAGTGGTAGCACCTGCACAGGGATGAGGAAGCCGTGAGCGAGACATGGAAACACCAGCTGCGGTGGAAGATCCATGGACGAGCGGCAGGGGGGAGGGCAGGGCAGTTGCTCCTGCGGAGAGGGGCGCGCAGCCGCAGCCGCAGCCGCCCT